CTTCTTGAACTGGTCGTCTTTCTTTTTTCTTTGTTTTGTTTTACTACAGCTTGGCTGTAGAGAGTTGATGAACTATCTTCTCACTGTTAGCAGATAAGAGACACAACTAGTTGGAAAAGGATGCATCTCAATGTGCTCTGTTTTATTTTGTTTTGAGGGTGGTGTGGCAGATGTCTCTTCATCTACTGTATGATAAAATGATTTCTAAATTTTAACTAGATGCTTGTCAACGAAAGATACTCATATGGTACTGCACTATGCTCTAGGATCTTCCCTTGCTGATGTTATTAAGCTTATTGTCAGTAGACACTATTGCAATATGCCTTTAAGGAATTTTACATATTTATATATTTCTTTAAGTCCTGGCATCTCTGGTTCTGAGTTATGATTCTCTTCACTGCCACTTTCGTGGGAATTTATGTCTCTACTTTTGCATCTTTGCAGAGCTTCACAAGAAGGAAACATGTGAGGCAGTGACAGTTATTGAAACCCCTCCAATGGTGGTGGTTGGTGTTGTGGGTTATGTCAAGACCCCTCGAGGCCTTCGCTCGTTGAACACGGTGTGGGCTCAGCATTTGAGTGAGGAATTGAGGCGCAGGTTCTACAAGAACTGGTGCAAGTCCAAGAAGAAGGCATTCACCAAGTACTCAAAGCAGTATGAAACTGAAGATGGAAAGAAGAACATCCAAGCTCAGCTTGAGAAAATTAAGAAATATGCAACTGTAGTTCGTGTTTTGGCTCACACTCAAGTACGGCCTGCTTTCCCTCCAGAACAATGTCATAGCTCCTGTGCTGAACTTTTTATGTTTAAGAGTGTTTTAAAGTCTGGGCATTTTGTTACCTGATTAAATATATCATTTATGGTGTTCTGTGGTTAATCTGCTACAGATTAGAAAGATGAAGGGATTGAAACAGAAGAAGGCACACTTGATGGAAATCCAGGTCAATGGTGGGACTATTGCTCAAAAGGTGGACTTTGCATATGGCTTTTTTGAGAAGCAAATTCCCATTGAAGCTGTGTTCCAGAAGGACGAGATGATTGACATCATTGGAGTGACAAAGGGTAAAGGTTACGAAGGTGTTGTCACCCGGTGGGGTGTAACACGTCTTCCTCGTAAGACTCACAGGGGTCTAAGGAAGGTTGCTTGTATTGGTGCGTGGCATCCTGCTAGGGTCTCGTTCACAGTTGCTAGGGCTGGTCAGAATGGGTACCACCACCGCACTGAGATGAACAAGAAGGTCTATAAAATTGGCAAGGCTGGTCAGGAGTCCCACACTGCTCTTACTGAGTTTGACAGGTCAGAATCTGTACATGAGATGCAGGAAACTTTTGATTTGGTTTCTGCGATGATTAGGCTTTACTTTTGTCGTGTTTGCTTTCAACTAGTAGTGCTATTTATCTGTTTGATTTTTTCCTCGAATATCCATTTATTGGGTGTAACATAAGTGTGAAGTGTGAATGTGCTAGTCCTCATTATCGAAGGCTTTAATGAATTATCCTGAGCGGATAGCAGTTCTTATCCTTCATTCGAGTGAAGCTTAACTAGGAAGGTTTTACTATTGTTTGTGCTTCTAAACCCTCATTGTTTTGTCTTTAAAATTCAGAACTGAGAAAGACATCACTCCAATGGGCGGCTTCCCACACTATGGCTTGGTGAAAGATGATTATGTGATGATCAAGGGATGCTGTGTTGGACCCAAGAAAAGGGTGGTGACACTCCGACAGTCCTTGCTCAAGCAAACTTCTCGTGTGGCTCTGGAGGACATCAAGCTCAAGTTCATCGACACCTCTTCTAAGTTCGGACATGGCCGCTTCCAGACGACGCAAGAGAAGCAGAAGTTTTATGGACGCTTGAAGGCGTAATGGAGCAAATAACTAGGCCCGCTGTTCCTGGTCACGGATCGCTTGGAGGGCTTCTGGTTGTCTCTTATGATATGGAACTAATTTTGCTAGCTACATCGATTTCACTTTATGAAATTTTGTTTCATTTGAGATATTTTTGTACTGAACCATGTTGTTTTCTGATTTGGATAGCGAGATAAAGGATGCTTATTTTGAGGAAATTTTTTTTGGCCAATTTCACTATGCATTTAAAAGAGCAGGGGCTTTTTCTGACTTTCGACAATTGCACTTCGGATGTGAGCTGACCTGTTTCATCGGACTTAGCTATTGCTGCATGGTGAACTGAATGGTGGTGAGTGAGTACTTAATAATTTGGGCCTCTGCTTTCTTTTTCTTTGAATTACATTAAGAAAATTTTGGTCCTAGAGATGATTCTTAAAACTTTGGGGAGCCCGCAAGAATTATATTTATATGACTACTTGCATAGCTTGAAACAATTTGTTAATAAAAAATATTTTTATTATCGATAATAATTTATGTCTTGATATTTTTATGAGCGACGAAAATGTTTTTTGTTCATTTATTTTTGTAAGCGATATAATCAATTTTATTTAGGAAAATATTGTCCAAATTATTTATTTTTCGCGAAACAAATCAAGCTTAGATGAAAACGTATATATTAACGTCTTTAGCTTGTTAGTTGATAATTGAGATAATCTCATAAGAAAATCCTGAACTTTGCATTGTACGACACCAATACTTTAAATTTTACTTCTACTTGTGAGACTCATAAAGACCTTCTTATACACTTAAATTCATAATAATCATTAAAAATTCGACGTGACAATATTCATGGACGACACCAAACACATAGTTTAATGTGGTAATGGACGAATTCTGCCATGTGATAACGGCCATATGAACAGAAGTCTAATACAAGATGTTTTTCCGTCGTTGGTACAAGTATGGAGTATTCGCGAAACGGAAAAAAATTTTGGGTATTGATGTCTCACGATGAAAGTTTATCATTGTTTATGGGATTATTTCACGATAAATATGGAACTTATGAGAGAGATATTGTTCTTTCCAATCTCGCGAATCCTGCTTGAGCTCTCTTTTCAGTTCACCAAAAACAAACTGCCGAGAGCATGGAGATAGAATTGAACTTTGATCATCTGAAACATCCTTTTTTTCATTTATCAAAAAGGAAAATTAAAAATTTACATCCCATAATTATTAGTTTCTATGTACGAGTTATTAAAGGTGGACAAAAGGAACCATCCAGATCGGACTGAACCGATCGGTTCTGGTGGTTTCTGAGGGCACCGGTCCGGTTCCCAATTCCATAAAATTGAATCGGTAAATTTCGGCCTAGTTCTAGATGTAGAACCGCCCACTTAAAACATCCGGATTAGATCGATTTTTTTTTAAAAAAAATTTATTTCTTAAAAGGCTGTAAAAAAAAACCCCGAATTTATCTCCCATTTCACAAAGGAAGGTTTTCTTTTTATGCTGGAGCGATTACATTTACTTATGCATATAAGTAAAATGACAAGAACAAATCAAAACACATTAGTAGTTGTTCATTCCAATCAAATTTTGCCACAAACTGAAAAAATATCTATGAAACCTACAATGTTATACGTAACTCATTAATTGTGGAAACGTCTTCATTGTCAAGAACATCTTCAATTTCATCTTGAATATTAATCACAAATCAAAAAAGAAAAAACTGCCACCAGTTCCATCAGCCCATCCAAGAACTAGACTGGACCCTTTCTTCCCTAATTGTGGAAACTAATGCGCATGACAACTTGCTAAATAGTGTTTGATTTTGTTCTTTTGTTCCCAGAATCAGTTTGGGAATAGAAATTCGTTTGTTTAATTTTTTGATTCTGGGCACAAATTCGAATTTGTGCCCAAAATCAGTTTTGGAGCAGAATCAAGAATAAAAAAAAGTAGCTTCTTGATTCTGGGAACAAAAATGAGAATCATTTTTTTTTTTCTTCTTCTTTTTCTTGGTTTTTAATATAGCTTCTAATGTCCGGCGCGAGGGCCACCCTCGCCGTATCTGACGAGATTAAAATATTATTAATAAAAAAAATTTACCGGCCTTGGCCAGCGACCAGGCCATGACGAAAAAAATAAAAAAAAATATTATTAATAAAAAAAAATTTTACCGGCCATGGCCAACGACCAGACGGCTATGGCGAAAAAAATAAAAAAATTATTATTAATAAAAAAAATTTACCGGCCATGGCCAGCGACCAGGCCATGGCAAAAAAAAATAAAAAATATATTATTAATAAAAAAAATTTTACCGGCTATAGCCAGCGACTAAGCCATGGCGAAAAAAATAAAAAAAATATTTTCAATAAAAATATTTTTTATTAATATTTTATTAATAAAAAAATTATTTATAAAAACATATTTTACCGGCTATGGCCAGCGACCAGGCCATGGCAAAAAAAATAAAAAAATAATTTCAATAAATTTTTTTATTAAAATATTATTAATAAAAAAATATTTCTAAAAAAAATATTTTACCGGCCATGGCCAGTGACCAGGCCATGGCGAAAAAGAAAGAAAAAAAATATTTTTTAGTAAAATATTTTTAAAAAAAATTATTAATAAAAAAATTATTTATAAGAAATTTTTTTACCGGCCATGGCCAAGAAGGAGGAGAAGAAAAAAAAGAAAAGAAAGAAATATTAAAATATTTAAAATGTTATTAAAATATTATTAATAAAAAGAAATTTTATGCCGTTATCAAACGCATTTATGTTCTTTTACTATTTCAGGAATAGAAATTTTGGGCCGTTACCAAACTTCTTCAAATGCTCAGAATCAGTTCCCGGGCACAGAATAAAAAAAAATCATTTCTGACCAGAATTTGTTTCCGGGTATAGAATGGTTGCCATGCACACCCTAAATATGCTACTGGTTCCCCATTTTGAAAACTGGAACCGGTCCCTCTGATTTGGTTCTACCCAATCGAGCTGCCCGGAAATCGATCAACCCAACGCGCTATTTTTTGGCGATAAGAAATGTGAAAGTGCATAATATGCCTTTGAATGGGAAAAATAATAGTGCAATGATAATGATATGGGGAATGTATATAATTATCCTAAACAAAAGACGACAGGTGGAGCTTGGCGTAATCTATCTAGGGCAAGAAGAAGACAAATTCCAGGGCTTTTCAAGGTCCATTACATCGTCCCATCTCCATCTCCAGAACTTCGGCCTTCGTTTCCGTTTCGTTCCTTCTTGCGCTCCTCCATCCATAACGATGATGAACATCCCAAACAGTCGATCCATTCACTCTTCTTGACTCAGTTCACCTCTCTCTCTCTCTCTCTCTCTCTCTCTCTCTCTCTCTCTCAGGCAAGTCCTCTTCTTGTTCTCGACGACTCTCGATTGAACTTTGCATGTCATAGCAATGTTTTCGTGGTGGGTTTGTGGTTAGAGACTAGTATTTGCGGGTGGAAAGTGTAAAGTTGAAATTTTTTGGGATCTTTCTCACCTGAACTGTGCTTTCGATTTATTGGGCACGTTTTTGGTTATGTGGGAGCTTTTGTCAATGCGGGTTTTTCATGGTCGTTCGAGTTTGGCATGTGATATGGAAAATGTGAGGCGTTAGCTGTTATTTTCGAATGAAAGAGTGTTTTTTGTTGAGGATTATTAAATTTGATGCTGGAGGATTGGGTGGTTCTGCTCATCATGGTGTGCTTCCAGGTTTGTTGCCGAAAATGACCGAGCCATCCAAAGTGATTCACGTCCGCAACGTTGGGCATGAAATTTCAGAGGTACATGTTCTCTTGCAGCTTCTGCTCCTAAGTATATTCTTTTGATTGAATACGGCATTTCTGTGACGATTTTCAATGGAGGGAAGGAGTTGTTTTCTGGCTGACATCTTAAGGTTGAGATGGCTTTTACCTTCTGTACCATGCTGGTGCGGAAAAGACAAATAGTTTAGCGTACATTTTCCAGACAATCCTTGTACTTTGGATGTTTTATCCGATCATGTATACTGTCAAATTGTACAAACAACAGGTTTTACCTTCTTTTTTTAAGGTTTAATTAACACAAGTAGAGAGGAATGCAACAATGGCATACGGTGACATGCAATTCCAAAGGAAACACATTTTATTTCCCTTTCCTGTTCTTTTTTTGGCTGTGTTTTATTTGTAAGGTACCCAGGAGCTAATGCTTCCATAGCAGGATCACTTTTCCATAACACAAGTTGTCAGAGCCATACTTCTTCATCTACACTCCTGTTTTATGGTAATTTCAGAATATCATTAGAATCAAACAGTTAGTAAGCTCGGGCAGGCTGTTGGATTTTTTTTTTAGGAAATGACAATCCATGATCCCATTTTGGGATTCCAATGACTAAGATGTACAGTTTTGACGATGAGCTGTTTCGGGACCCCGCTCCCCTGCGGCAAAAAACCGAGGATTATTAAATTGCTGCGCATAAACGCTAGAGTTACCTAATAATTGGTTGATCTGTGTACAGAATGATCTGCTTCAACTATTTCAGCCATTTGGAGTCATTACGAAGCTTGTAATGCTCCGTGCAAAGAATCAGGTCTGTCTTCTGCTGTTAGATATCTCGTATAGCTTATTTCCTATATTAGATTCAGATGGGAGATTTGTGATTGTTGTTAAAACCTGTTGTTGTGCAGGCTCTTCTCCAAATGCAGGATATACCTTCTGCAATTAATGCCTTGCAGTTCTATACAAATGTTCAGCCAAGTATTAGGTAAAAGGCTTGTGGATATCGTTACTGTGAGCAGTAGTTATCTTGGCTTTTTCTTAATACTATCATGGCAAGAAACAATTGATGGCTTAGCAAATGCCCTCATGATTTGCAAGGACTGTGACAAGAATTAATAGGCAGAAGACTTTGGTGATCGGACTGCTTTTTTTGAGGAGTGTTCTGAATTATTTCAACCTTTATTCCTCTTAATATAGGGGTAGGAATGTATACGTCCAATTCTCATCACATCAAGAGCTTACCACAGTGGATCAGAATGCTCAAGGGAGAGGAGATGAGGTTAGCAGTCTATTTTTTATTTGTCGATGTGTCAGAATGTTGATTATTCCTGGAAAATTACCAACAAAATGAAGTGAACTTTTCAAGTTTCTGTGGGTAATGGTCAATGGCTGTTGAGCTGGGCTCAGTTGGTCAGGACAACTCATGAGCTTTCCTAGATTAGTTTGTAGAGAAGCTGAAAAGTGAAGCATGGTTTATTGTTTCAAGTATAGTTGTCATTGTAAACGAACAATATACAGCAATTGATGACTGTGTTATAACTTCAATTGAAGCCATATAAGGTCATTTGGAAGTCAGCTAGTGGACTAACATAATTGCTAGTCAACTTGTGGTTTTGGCTCGTAGGCTGGCTGTCTTTTCAATTTTTTTTTTAACAAGTAATTTGGTGAGTGGAATTGATATTATACAATTGTTACAAAGATATGTCCTTTATTCATTGTTTAGCAATACTTGAGTGCAAGAATTACACACAAACATACACACCTCACAATGATAATAATTTTAGTGGTGATTGATTCTCAAAAGTTGTTGCAGCTATATCTTTTCCAGCTTTCACGGGCAACTGATATGCCTTCTAAATTTGTTCTTATACTTTGACAATGGTTGTACTTGCAACCTTTGTACTTTTTTGTGCTTTGACCTTTTCTCATCAATGGTTTCTCAAATTTGTTGGAACTCAAAGGCATTCTAAATTGCCTGAAATCGAATAATATGAGTTGGAAGTTAATTCAACTGAGTGAGTGAGATTGGATGATGTAGTGTCGTTTGATACTTGACTTCGGCTTTTCACTTGAGTTTACGCCTATTGCATATGTCTGAATGGTTTTACCCAATAAAGTTGCAGTTCTTTTCCACTCAAGCTTTGAAAGTAAATTCTGTCCAGAAAGAAGAGGGAATTAAAGAAGAGGAAGATGCTATTTTCATAAATGCTTTGATTTTCATTGCGTTTGCATTTATATGTATTCACCAAAGGTTTTCCCCAAGAATTTAACCCATTAGGAGATCACTAATATTCTATATCTATCATCATTCTTTTAACACTCCCTCGGTGTATGCTGGTCCTTACATGTGAAACACAAGATGTGGATTTGACCACATTGATGAGATGCTAGGGACTAGAAAATAGTAACAGGAGAACTGTGAGGATAACAATTGGAGGGGTGTCAGGATTGAACTCTTGATAGGTGCTTTGATATCATTACATGTTGATAGGTGGTTAGGAAATGCGTCATTTGTATGTCTAGCTTATTTCTTAACATGTAGAATATCTCCTGCGAGATATATGGTAAGTCATATTTTTTAACTACAAGTACCCATCTGTTTGTATTTGTCATACTGCTTCTCTTCTCCTTGTGCTGACGTTTTCCTGACTATTTTTGGTATATTCAGCCCAATCGGATTCTACTGGTTACCATTCACCACATGCTGTATCCTATAACAGTAGAGGTGCTGCATCAAGTGTTTTCTCCTTATGGATTTGTGGAGAAGATTGTGACTTTTCAAAAATCAGCCGGTCAGCCCACTCCCCTCCTCCAACTGTCCCACTTACCCTCTCTCTTTCTCTCTTTCACATGCATGCATGCGTGCACGTACACACGTGCAGAAGCGCCTACGCACAAACCTGGGCTCCTCCTCCCTCTTGAAATTGTGTTTATAGCTACTTAAGGCCATATGATGCTTTTATGTGAGTTCTGCCCTTCCCTGGACCCTGTGTAAACGCAGGAGCTTCATGCACCGAGCTGCCCATGAGGTGTGGAGTATTGGTGTCACTGTATTTCCTAATTCTCTACGCAAAATTATTTTGCATCTATTTCTTAAGCTCTGTGCTCTAAAGAACTCAAGATTAGTTCAAGATTAGCCTAACTTTTGTCTGTTCCTCTGTTTTGACCAATTAGGTTTTCAAGCTCTTATTCAGTACCAATCACGCCAGAGTGCAATTTCAGCAAGAACTTCTCTTCAGGTGCTGATTAAATTTCTTGAGTTAGCAGAGTGTTATGTTGAATATCATCAGTAGGCATGCCTTCTAATAGGATACAGACGCTTGTCATTTTAGGGACGTAATATCTATGATGGTTGCTGCCAGCTGGACATTCAGTTTTCAAAGTATGTGTGAATGCCTATCCAACTTTGTTCTTTTCATGCTTCTGCATCATTGGCCTTTCCATTTGTTTCTTTTATTAATGTTGTCTCCAATCTGCTGCTGTAATTCATCACGTGTCCTTTTCATGATTCAGCCTTGATGAGCTACAAGTGAACTACAATAATGAGCGATCAAGGTAAGTCTATAGCTTTTGGATAGAATTTTCACGTTTTCGGTGGCATTGTATTGTTGATGAGCACATTCTTATACTGTCTGCAGGGATTTTACAAACCCAAGTTTGCCTTCTGAACAGAAAGGTAGATCATCACAGGTATGCTGCCTTGGCACTCTTCTGCTTTACCAGTTGTGGCCCAAGGTTTTGTCTTGAATACTCGTTTACTCTTCCATATCAAATGCTCTTGTTTTTCATGTTTATAGCCTGGGTATGGGGATGCTGGAAGCGTGTATGCCCTCCAAGCTGGTGGAGCACGGGCAGGTATTTTCTTGCCGAGCAATAATGCTTAGCCTTTATGCTTCACGTGTTGGTTTTTTTTTTCCTTAACATCCTGTTCTTTGTCTACATTTTCTTTGATGGTAACTCTATTTCTCTTGCTATGAACTATATATGCACCATTTGTTTGTTATACTAAATTATCACATATCACATACTTCTGTTTCTGCCAATAAGTTGCGCTTGTAGTTTCTTTGCTCCCTTAGCCATTTTTGCTGACTTTTACTTTCTTTGTCTTTTTATTGGTGTTCCAGTTGCATTTCCTCAGGTGAGTCATCGGTACTATTGCTTTCTTATTGCTGAGATATTTTTTATATTGTTTAATTCTCTCTTAGTCTTTGCTAAATTCTTTTGCTTATTCCTTCTATGCCTGTGTTTCCCTTGCTAATCAATTTTTTTTATTCAATTTTCTTGTAGATGGCTAATGCTGCTGCAATAGCAGCTGCCTTCGGAGGAGGTTTGCCTCCTGGAATAAGTGGAACTAATGACAGGTGTACCGTTCTCGTCTCTAATTTGAATCCTGATGTAAGTACTGCAAAGACATTACTGTCGGTTCATAATTTGATGGACTTTTTGATTATTTGTACTTGACTACATATGGCCATTCAGAAAATAGATGAGGATAAGCTTTTCAACTTGTTCTCTCTATATGGAAACATCGTGAGGATCAAGCTTCTGCGGAATAAACCAGATCATGCACTTGTTGAGATGGGTGATGGATTTCAGGCTGAGTTGGCTGTACACTTTTTGAAGGTACAAGTGACAAGCTTAGCAAAATTTCAATGTCGCTGTGTGTATGTGGGAAGAAGATGGTTTATCTCTTTGTGCTATGCTTTGTTATAATTCAAAGCATTCATGTTTATATCCTGTTCATATTATAGTATATGATGCAATATCAGTCCTTGGATCTTTTCGAAGGAAGATCTAGTTTATACTTGAAGAACTTCTCAACAATTGAAGGTGGAAACATATCGGAATAGTCACCAAGTTACATTCCATTGACTTTTCTTTCACTGAATTTCAATAACGTATCACCTGTTAGGCTTGGAGAGAATTTGAGAGTATCTGGATAGAATGTGTCACTCTTATATGTGACGTCTAGGATTGCTATTCACGTTATGCAAGCAGCAATTGATAGGAGTTGATGCAGATTCACTTGTCAGTTGATCTGAGCATTAATTGTCGAATTATTTGCACCATTTGGCATCAACTGTAGCATGCACGTTCTCTGCTTGTGGTATCTAAACTTTCGAATTTTGAATTATAGGGAGCTGCGGTTTTTGGGAAGCGGCTGGAGGTCAACTTCTCCAAGCATCCAAGCATAACTCAAGGCGCTGACACGCATGACTACATGAACTCAAATCTTAACCGCTTCAACCGTAATGCTGCAAAGAACTACCGCTACTGTTGCTCACCAACCAAGATGATCCATCTCTCTAGTCTCCCTCAGGAAGTGACAGAGGAGGAGATAGCGAAACATCTGGAGGAACATGGCTCCATTGTAAACACAAAGGTTTTCGAGGTGAACGGCAAGAAGCAGGCCCTGGTTCTCTTTGAGAACGAGGAACAGGCCACCGAAGCCTTAGTGTGTAGGCACGCCAGCTCTCTGGCTGGGTCGGTAATCCGGATTTCGTTCTCCCAGTTGCAGGAGATGTAGGTCGCTGTATGGTCGGGGGCATGGCATGGAAAAACTTCTTTTGCTCAAATGGTGGGAGTTAGGACCCGTTTGTTTTTTTATTTATGTGGGTGGCCGTCTTCTAAGTCTCGACTTTTGATGTAGATTTTAATTGCTTCATAATCGACGATGCCCTCTACTTTTCTCTATATCTTCATTCTTTTGGATGCTTGTACGGATTATTCTGTTAGGTCCTTTTTTTATTTTCATGGGTAGATGTCCTGCTTAGCAGATAGGCTCAGTTTTGAAGGATGGGAAAGGAGAGACAGAGAGCATGTAGGGGGACTTGTTTTCCTTCTTTTTCTTGTATCATTCTAGTAAATCCAGGCTAAGTTTAGCCGCTTCTGTTGTATCCTATTCAATTTTCTTCCCTGTTGAATTGGCACAAAGAGCTAGTTATGAAGAATGTTTCAGGCTCTTGAGAGCTTATGTTCCTCCTCCTGCTCCTCCTCCTCGCTGCTATCGTCTTTGTCATATCGCCGTCACTTCTCTTTCTTCACTTCCTCCTTCGCTATCTGCTTCTTCTTCCTCCTCCTCCTCCTCCTCCTCCTCCTTTTTCCTCTTTCTTCTTCTTCTTCTTCCACGGGGAATGCTAAACCGATTGAAAATGTTGAATCGAGGTCGATATATCATTGATAGACGTTGTGTTTGAGCAAATAGACCTGATTCTCTCTTTCTTCGTGCGTGCTGATGGTCACTTTGGGATCCATCCGTGCTCTTTATTGTTGTGACCTGTGTGTAAAATGTCGCGACACAACTAAAAATTCCAAGTATTTATATGTCCCAAAGCTCGGAATGATAAAAACGTAAGTAAATTTAAGTTGCTACGGGAATTGGCGTCTCTGGAAAGATCCTCACTCTCTCTCTCTCGCCATGGATCGAGGGTCCGAAACCTAATATTTTGCTAGAAGAATCTCTATGCCTGAGAGTGAATTTCCGATGGCTTCCACATTTCGTACTCCTACTCTCATGCCTAATTGGAGGTCCAACACTTACAAATCAAAGAGCCCGGAGTCATCATCGATCATTCTAGGATAGTCATGCATAAGCATATGCCCATATGTCAGATTATGTCCTCTGATTATCTAAGACTAGTGCAAGTATAGTTGGCTCTGTAAACAAAGGTACCGTATCTATGCAGTGTGCCTCCAGTCCTTGAGGCAAACGACACCACATAAATGCCAAAATTGATAATAATTAATTGAAAATGAATGATTTGAAAAATATATTAATTGGTAATTGAAATATCGTTTTCGGGACGAACAGATATCTTATGATGCAGTGATGACTGTACTAATGATCACTGCAATCTTGTCCATTCCATTCCTGTTCATACGATAAGATGATGATGTCTGGTGTCACACTCCAAAGAGCAACGAGGAGAGACTTTCCAACGTCCATGGATTCTTCAAGTGTAATCCGATTATCATCATCCCCATTCAGAATCGCGCATTCCTCTCTGCGCGCGACGAACCGAACCCACAACCCGCTCTCGCTCTCGCTCTCGTCGTCGTCGTCAACCTCCGCCTCTCGAGACAATCCCCGGAAGAAGCCGCCGAAGCTGGAAGCCGGCGCCGGGGCCAAGAGGGGAGCGGCTCTCGACGAGGCCGCCTACGAGGCCGAGCGGCTCCGGCTCGACGCCGAGGCTCGGGAGTCGATGGCGGAGGCGGCGGAGCGCGAGGGAGCCGAGGAGGACCCGAAGGCGTGGAAATGGGTGATCCGGAAGAGGGTGTGGGATTTCATGGAGGCGCGCGACGTGGCCCAGAACCCCCGGCCCGTTCACCACCGCATCCCCAACTTCGTCGGTGCTTCGGCTGCTGCTAGCAAGGTGAAAAATGCAAACTTTATCCGATTACTTATTCCCTTTCATTTTTCAATTTGCTATTGTGTGGAAAATTTTCGTTTTTGTTCTTCTGGTGATCTTGGGGAGACGAAGAATGGTTAATTGGATTGGTTTGTAATGTTATGTATGTAGGCATTTGAATAAGTGAGACATATTCGACACCGAATAAGAGCCTATAACGCCATTAGCCAACCAGTGTGATCATGCACTCTTATATAGAAGTAATGGAATTTCAGGCAGAACTGATGATTTTCTTCTCTGATTCCGTGATGAAAAAAATTGAATAGAACAGTGTCTTTTTACCCTCCATGTTTGACTTGGGCCTTATGGCAGTTAAGCGAGTTGGAAATTTTTCGAGTTGCAGAGTGTGTGAAGGTTAATCCGGATTCACCCCAGAAGCAAGTCAGGTTCCTCACTCTCTCTGGTCAGGTTTTTTCCAGCTAATATGTTCCCTTAAGTTAATTTAATTCACTTGCAACTTTAGAAGGAAAAATGTGTAGCAATGTCGAGCTGACTTTCTCAAAAAGTTAAGAGACTGTACTGCTGTTTGTGCAGATGGGAAGAAGTTGTTAACTCCTCAACCCCGTCTGAGGACAGGTTTTTTCTCTGTTCTTCAGTCCTCTATGTTGGCCCCTCATACCATCAATGAGGCTTGTACCTCTGTGGGGGTCGCCAAGTATGGAAGGCCGATCGGATTGGATGAGAAGATAAAGGTGGATCTGATTGTGATTGGCTCCGTTGCAGTTGACCCTAAGACCGGTGCTCGGCTTGGGAAGGGTGAGGTAATTATAGACATGCTGTTGCTAGCAACAATTTTTTTTCCCTGTGGGGATTGCAGGGACAAGTATGGTTGCTTCAAAAGGTTCTGAATCAATTTTCAGCTTTATGTGTATTGGCTTAATTGCGGGTTGCAAAGATCTAGTGGCATCTAAGGTGGTTTTGTCTAATTTACAGAATTGTACTATCAGTTGTTAATTGCTACCAATACTACATATTTGCAACTCATAGATCCACTTTTAGAAGTATCTTTTGCTTGTGCATTCCTGATACTGGTGAAGCAAAATGTCTGGCGACTGCAATCAAGATCTTAGATATGATCTCCTGCTATTCACTGAATCTTGAAAAGCTATTGGAGATTCTAAATCATTCGCTAAAATTTTGGTGCAGGGGTTTGCAGAACTTGAGTATGGCATGCTACGATATATGGGAGCTATTGATGACTCGACACCAGTTGTCACCTCCGGTGAGTTGTTTCATAAATTCTGTCCATATTTCACCTAGTTTAAGTAACTGAAGTTATTCCTCTGAAAATAGTATCCTGGACTTACCAATATTCCCACAATTGCAAGCACATGATTAATCTATGGGTGATGTGAAAACATACTCCATGTCCATGTGAACCTTTGACTATCCAATAGGGAATTATCCTCTCAAATCTCATCCTGACGACTGCATCATTGCATGATCTAAGTATCAACTAGTGTGGAAGATTCAACGGTATGTTTCCTATTGTCTGGTACTGTCATTATAAGTGAACTGCAGGATTCTTGTTCGGAAGCAAGAACTTTTTATTTATATATGCATTTGGTATGGGTTTTCTGCTTTATCATTGGAAGATAAATTGGAGACAAATGTCGTTTATTTAAAAATGTCTCTTGAGTTTTGACATTTTAAGGGGGCATCTGCTTAATGAAGGATGTCTCAAGCCTTTGTGTTTTAATGCTGGTGCAGTATACATCTACATAAGCCTCTAACCATTCATTATCAATTTCCATAGCAGTATTTATTAGCTGACCACGCCAGAAAATTGGTGAATGTGCTCTTGCAGTGCACGACTGTCAATTGGTGGATGACATTCCAGTGGAGAAGTTGTTAATACATGATGTGCCTGTGGATGTGATATGCACTCCCACACAGGTCATTTTCACTAACACTTCCATTCCAAAGCCCCAAGGTTAGTGCAGCAGTAATATATCCTTTAAACCCGTCATCGCTCTCTCTCTCTCTGTGGCATAACAGTGTACTTGATCTTCTGTGATCTTGTTGTACTTAGTAAGGGAGGCTGCTTTGTTTATAGGGATCTACTGGGATAAACTGTCTCCTGAGAAGCTGGGTCAAATTCGTATTCTGAGGGAGCTCAAGCGCAGAATTGAGCAGGAAACTGAACAAAAGCTTCCTTGTGGTCCATCAGAGAAATTACCCCCGATGGCTCAACGGAGCCGCTCAAAATCTCGAGATAAATAAGACCGATCCACGATGAAGAAGAACAGGATTTGTAAATACTGCTTTGAGCTAGCAGATGGTTGTCGCATTAATAGTTCTGTGGGCAACCTTGAATGAAATGGGAAGCAATTAGGTGTGATTTGAAGATCTGAGAGGCAGATTGTTGTTGAGCTATGTTTTGGTGTTTGATTACTTACAGCTATCAGAAGTGATGATGCATAAGTTTCTTAATAGGGCAACTTTAGCACATGCCTTGGCCATTTAAGCTGATTGACTCGGCCTCTTAAGCGGATTTGAAGGGCTCATTTCACCAGGTCACTAGAAAATGTGCCTGACCACCATCGCGGCGGTGGCGCGGGATCTGTCCCCTCCCCTCTTTTCTGCATGTCATGCCGGAGTTGAGACCACCGTCGCAATGGCCGCCTCGCAGACGAGATTGAGATCGATAGCTCGGTGGTCTCCTCCGATAGACGTGACGACCACCACCCCAGCGTTCGCTGTCGAGGGGGCGGGACTATTGTGGCGGCAGTGGTCCTGCAACCACCGAGTGCCCCTGTACACTTTTTTTGTGACAAATATGGGGTGTTCTACAAAATCTTTTCCAATCCTTTCAGCCAAATGTTGGCCTTGCCAAAGATTTTAGCATTTGCGGAAGGCTTCCTAGGTTAATTAATTTTTTTCTTTCAAAATTTTCCTTACCAATTTTTTCGATTTTCGTTTTTACCCTCATTACGGCCGTTCATCTTCTCTGCTCAAGGACGGCCGACAAGGCCAGCTAGCCTTGTCAGAGACCTCAGGTAGTCACTTGTGTCGCTCAAACCAAGGTGGTCGCGTGAGTTTGAGCGACCCAGGCAAGGGCCACATGAGGTCACACGACCCTAAGTAGCCCTCGATGGGGGCATGTGACCTCATGGGGGCCTTGCCTGGCTCGTGTGGCCCGGGAATTGCACAACCCCAGGAGACCCTTGCTAGGGGTCATTAGGAGCCAGCTGAGGTCGTCCAACCGCGGACCGCCGACAAGCCAAATCTAGTGTCGATGGCCATTGTTTGAGCCCTTAGCCAGAATCGGCGAAGGGTTGAAGTTTTCTTTTCCTTTTTTAATAAAAAAATAAGAAAAGTCCTTTGCAAGAAATTTTTGTCCAAACACTATTTAACTGAAAATTACTTTACAATTGACTTTTAAATTACAATTTACTCAACACAATTTGCATTTCGAAAAATCCCTTTTAACTTAAATCTCTTCAAAAGTTCAATCAAACGTAGTCTATATGCATTCTTTGATTGCCACCTTATCTTACTTGCTACCAACTCAATGCTTCGCCGGTCAAATTTAACCGATGGACTAACGTCAACACTTTTAAAAAAGTACAAGTTTTATTTTAAACCAACAGTAATAAAAACAAAAGGAGAGTTGGTTTTGAATCTCGGATAAATTCGACCAAAAAAAAAAGAATCTTGGGTAAAAGCAAAGGAATTGCTAGTGTCATTTCACCTAATATAAATTAGCTATTTTAGTTGATATTAAAGTTCCTGAGCACGTATAAATATCATTAGTCAAATGAGTAAGTAACTAGTCGCATACAATCCTTCAAGTAAATGCTTCAAAGTTACTAATGGTATTGCAAAATTAATAATAGCATCTACATTTTATTTTATTAAAAAAAGGTGTATATTTTGTCAATATAAAAGATAATCGATCATGGAAAAAGGTCAATTAATTTTCTTTATCAAGAACTACTTATGACGTGAAGAAGTTACCGACGATTGTTGCGAATTATAAACATTATGAGAGGGTAAAATTAACTTTCTTGCTTGGCAACCCAATTCCGACCCAAAGAATAGACGCGCAGTTAAAATTCTTGAGGAATTATATATATTTGTGTATTGTTAAAGATCGTTCACGACACTCGACCTCTCCGAATTAACCACTTTGAAAAGTCATTATTCTACTATAAATGAAAATTTTACTTGCGGGTATCAAGAGGTTACTTTCTGTATTAAAAAGCTAAATCAATTGTCCAGGAGTAATTAGCAATTTTCATCACGAATCCAGTAAATTATTGAAAGGCAAAAATTACCCTCTTCTTTTTACAGAGTAAAAATGGCTTCCTCCCTCAAGACATCCGAAAATGGCAAAAAGGAAGAATTTTTCTCCTCATCTGTGACGATGGAGATGGTGGGTCGATAGGCAGGAGGGGGTTCAGAGGCTGAGGAGTGCAAATGAGTTCGTCTGCAATGATGCTGCGTCGTTTCTGCTGCTTCAGCACCGCCGTCTCCCCTTCCACATCTTCTTCTTCCTCATCCGCTCCTACTGCCAAGAAGAAGCCCCTCGTCTTCCTCGGCTCTCCTCAGGTCTCTTTCTCTAGCTGCGCGTGTATTTTACTCGTGTCGGTTCGTTCTTACGAGAATTTGCATGATGTAGTCCTTAAAGGTCCTTCCTTTACGCAAACTGGGCAGGTCTCTGCCGTCGTTCTTGACGCCCTCTTCAAGGCCTCGAGCTCCCCAGGCTCCGCGTTTGAGGTAACGCCTCCAGCCCTGTCGTGTTGTGGTCTCTTTCGTTGATCCGCTGAGCTCTGCGTGCTGTTCCCGTTCATTGCTTTACCCGGTTTTGCTATATACATTTAATCCGTATGATACTGTAGATGGGTGCTTTTGAAATTTCATGTTGAGCTGAATAGGAATGTGATTGTTGTGTTGACAATGTTGGGTTGTTTGGAGAGATTATGGTCAGCCCACGACAGTAGGGGGCAAATGGTTGGATTTGTTGATTAGTATGGCCTGATTTCGACCTCAGGCAATGGTGACTTGGGTTGCTAATACGGTGCGATTTAGGTTGCAGCAATAGTTACCCAACCGCCGGCTAGAAGAGACAGGGGAAAAAAGATCTTGCCGTCTCCGGTGGCACAATATGCACTCGACAGGGGATTCTCCCCCGAACTTATTCTCACACCAGAACGAGCAGGGGAGGTAATGAAGATCAAGTGCCTTTTTTTTCTATCTCTATTGCTTTTCTTTTTTGCGGTTTCAGTGATTTTGTATTTTTCGCTGTGTTTAGCAGAAGAATTTAGTTAGTTGAGCTAGCACGGAGCTTGGACTTCTCATTTATCTTTTTCCGTACAAGTGGAACTGCTTGCTTTGATTACAACTAGCTGTGTAACTACTTTACTAATCTAAGTGGTTCCTTCTCGTCCTCTCAGTTTTGACGTGCTTGTTACTCTTCTTATTTATGTGCAACTATTGGAACTGTTGGATAGGTTATCTGATGGTTCTCCCTTGCACCTTAATAGGGACAAACTCTACATATTGTTGTCGTCTTTTCGGTTGCTCAGTACTTAGTTCACTGAAAATATTGGTTACTGATAAGTCGTTGACAATGCACTACCAATTAACTTTTTTTTTTTTATAATCAAATTCCTCCAATAGTTCTTCGTTGCTTGGATAGTGCCACTCTAGAAAGTTTTCCATTGTAAAGAATGCACAAAACTTTCGATAAGGCTAAGATTTTCTATCTGCTTATCTTTCAGGACTCCTTTCTGTATACTTTAAGAGCATTGAATCCTGATATTTGCATCACTGCAGCATATGGAAATATTCTACCAAGCAAGTTTCTTAAAATTCCTCCATTGGGTTAGTCAAATGCAATCCCAGCTTCTTATTATGATCTGCTTGTTTCTCTTCCAGATCACGTGATTAACCAATGATTGATCTTCTTGTTTTTGTTAAATGTGATCAATCAATGATCATTTTTAAAGTCACGAGGCTGCTTGAATAACATTCGATCGGTTTACTTATCTGCAATTAGGGACTGTTAATATACACCCAAGCCTATTGCCATTATACCGTGGCGCTGCTCCAGTTCAAAGAGCAATTCAGGTAGGCTTAAGTTAACATATGCTTACAAAAGATGTGATTAAATAAGGAGGATATTCTCATTTGTGGAGTTATGTGTCAGGATGGTGTCAAAGAAACCGGAGTGTCATTAGCATTCACTGTCCGTGCTTTGGATGCAGGACCCGTGATTGCCAGTAAGCGATGGGAAGTTGATGATCGAATTAAGGTAGTGAGAGTTCTTGGTAGAGAATATGCAGATATGGATTGTTCTTAATTGATTTTCCAAAATTTGTTCCGTTGGTGTTTACAGAGCGGATAGTTAGGTTTTTTCCTTCGTCTGCTCTTCCATAGTAAGCATATCAACTAGCTGGTACAAAATATGTTGGGCAGGACTAGGGGTGTAATCGAGCTGACTCTAGTGACTCAATGTGATTATTTGAAACTCCATACTCAACTTGAGTTTGATGGAGCTTGCTTCTTTAAGCTTGACTTATACTTGTTAAAATGTTTCATGAATTTGAGCTAAACTGGACTCAATTTACCTTAATTATGAAAAGTAAAGTTCAGTCTTAACCTAACTGGAGCTCAAGCTTCTGTTTAGAAAGTATATTTGTTTTGATAAATTACTCTCTATGATCAAAATATATGAAAACTTAACTACTAGATTTTCTACTTTAGTTAAGTACTTTTCAGTTTGAGCTCAACTCAATTCATTGCTGTAGCTACTTGTTCTCTAATAGATTGACTCAAGCCTGAGTAGTTTATGAGATAGCCTGAGTAACTCATGAGTAGCTTGACTTAATTTCACCTCTGGGCAAGACAGGTGCAATTGTTTGGTGAATGGGGTTTTTCATAATTCTGTTTGATGAAATGATTTTCTCGCACGATTGCTCGATTAATTAAATAAATTGAATTTTGTTCTATGTACCTACATTGACTAATAAATCTCTTTCTCTCTCTCTCTCTCTCCACACACACACACACACACACACACACACACACACAAAATAGTTCTGCAGTCAATTACATGCTCATTAGCTTCCCAGGGATCAAATTTGTCATTCTTAAGCTGGTTTTGTTGCAGGCGCCAGATTTACTTGACCTGTTGTTCTCTGAAGGTGTGCCAATTCTCAAATGCCGTTTTAGCATATTAGAGGCTGAATTTGTAGAATTTTTATTTTATTCACTGCCAATGGGAAAACAACGCTCGCAGACAATGTTATGACACTTATATTTTGAGAAGCTGGAATCTAGCAATAGAATGGCTACATGTTTCTAGATTCTAGTTTTACACGTCATCACTCATCTTTGTCATAACATTTATTGTTATCAGTATGGTAGTTTCATGTTTATTTCGTTACTGTCAATACTTTTCTATGGATTTGGAGGATCCAATTAATTAGGAGGAAAGATA